CGGGGAAATAGAAAAAAGTCAGAACAGGGCAATTTTCAAACGTTCATATGAGAGTCCATTGGAGTTTCTTGAAAAGGGCTTCCAAAAGTATCCCTCTATTGGGTTCTTCCTCATTTTTCTTTTGTCTTCCAAGGCTGGACTAGTTGGCTGGGAAGAGTGGCTGGATACTCAGGTGAGGGTCCAGTGACCTTGCTTGGCACTCCTTTAATGAATGAGCACAACTGTCTACAAACCCAATTGTGAAAATGTTTATCGATCAGGCTCAGCCGAAGTCATGATGATGGTAGTTTATTTCATACAGAAAGGACTGCTGTATAACATCATCTTATTAAAAGGACCTGGAATTTAAAAGGATTTGGTGCTAGGAGCCACATACGAGGGAAAACATATGTCGTTTATTTTTCTGAGTCTGTGTTACTTAATATAACAGTTTCTAGATCCATCCATTTCCTGTAAATTTCATGATTTCAACTTTCTTTACTGCTGAGTAAAATTCCATTGTATAAATAAACCACATTTTCATTATCCACTTGTCAGTTGAGGGACACTTAGGTTGCTTCCATCTCTTCGCTATTGTGAAAACAGCAGCAATACACATGGATGTACAAATGTCTCTGCAATAGGATGAGTTCTTCGGGTATACGTCAAGGAGTGGTACAGCTGGGTCAAATGGTAGGTTCATTTGTAGTGTTTTAAGAGTTCTCCACACTACTTTCTATAGGGGTTGAACAAGTTTGCAGCCCCAACAGCAGTGAATGAGTGTTCCCCTTTCCCCACATGCTCTCCAACATTTGGTATCATTTGTTTTCTTGATCTTAGCTAGTCTGACTTGGGTAAGATGAAATCTTAAAGTGGTTTTAATTTGCATTTCCCTAAATACTAATGATGTTGAACACCTTTTAAGATGCTTCATAGCCATCTTTACTTCTTCTTTTGAGAACTCTCTGTTCAGCTCCTTAGCCCATCTTTTAATTGGGTTACTTGTCTTGATTCTCTGTTTTTTGAGTTCGTTATATATTCTGGATATTAAACCTCTGTCAGATGTGTCGCTGGTGAAGATTTTCTCCCATCCTGATTTCTCGTTTCTTTGTTGTTTGAGTTCTTTATATATTCTGGATGTTAAACCTCTGTCAGATGTGTCACTGGTGAAGATTTTTTTCCATTCTGTGGATTTTCACGTCACCCTGGTCAATCCTGATCTAACATTTTCCTTTTTTTTTTTTTTTTTAAACAATCTGAATCATTTTTATAGCCCTGTTCCCACCAGCACCTTCCCATAGCCCTCTGCCACTAGAACCCATATGCTCTGTCTGGGGTGTTAAGGCCCACTGTGTCAAGTCAGTGTCCCCAGACATTCCCCAGTGCAAGTCCATCCACTTGGAGTTTACTCAGATCCCGCTCATCTATCCAAACACCTATCATTTTCTTTTTTTTTTTTTTAACAGAACATAGGGTGGCAATTTACTTAGAGAGAAGTGGGCAGACCCCATTTACGACTGCACTGGAAAGTCCACACTCAAATATAGCTCCTGTGACTTCCAGTCAGCAGCAGAAAATGGTGAGAGAGGGGCCTTTTGGCATTCTTGTCTTATATATCCTTAGCCCCTCCCCCACATGCAGCTAAGGTCAACTGATTGGGTGGGAGGGGTAACTGACTCCCTTCTGGACTCCTTGATGAGGGTAGGAATGCACAGAGGTTGGAGTACACTTCCAGTTAACACTCCACCCTTTCCTCTGGGTCTTACATTCTTTCTGCCAACCTCTTCTGAAAAAGTCCCTGAGCCTCAGAGGGGGTGGTAGGTGTAGGATGCTCTTCCTCCTGTTGTGACAAGGCACTGAACTTTTGGGTCTCTGCATCATCAGTTTTCCATTGGCTGGTTGGCCCATTTCAGTGGGATTCCATCTACTATAAAAACACAAACAACAAGAAGCAAGAACATCTATAACAGCAGCTACAATAATAGCTTAACCTATGGGTGTAAACACAGGCACTTAGATAGTACTTTAGCAGGTGCATCATATCTCTCTAGCAAAATAATTGCAGTGGCTTCCCACTGGGGTCTATATTCCTCCCTGCCACAGGGGGTTGGTCTGGTCTACAGTACCAGCTGTGTCTTCCACCCCTAGGAGTGGGCATTATATCCAATTGAAAATTTGCAGGTTGTACATACACTAGCTGCTCCTAGTGCACCAGCAGGAACAGCTTGTTTGGTATGTTGCTAGTGCAATAAGAGGGATCCATAGTTGAGAAGAATTATAGGGGACGATTCTCCCCCAGTCATCTGCTTATCGCCTTTGGCACCATGAAAGCCACCCATCCAGTGGCAGGTAATTTCCAACTTAGTCCAAGCTTCATTTCTCCCTCTCCTGGCACTAGGATCTTCATTTTAAAACCATACTGCTTCTGGAAGGGCTTTCTTCCATCCCTGCAGGGTTCCTTCTGTGCTTAAGGTTTTTTATTTGTTTATTTTTCAACTGTATATCTGGAGAATTTTCCCCCTTTATTCCCATAGTTCTTTGTATAGAGTCCCCCCCTCCCATTTAACATTTTGTAACATTAAGTGCTTGGTAAGTATTGGAGAAATGTTCTCATTAGAATAAAATGCTACCTAAGAATGTTACAGCAAAAATATTGGAAGCAGCCCAGGTTTCCCTTGAAACAATACAAAACTGGGGGGTGTGGCTGGGTGGGAGGGCCTTTTTCTGGCACATACAAGGTCCTGGATGGAATCCTCAGCATCATTTAAAAACGAAAATGGGAAACCAACAATCTTGTCATTGAAACACTACTAAACAAAAGAAACTACTGGTGCACACAGATCACGGCTAAACCTTTCCTTTCTCTCTTTTCTTTTTTTAAGATAGGGTCTCCCTGTATCCCCAGCTCTCCTGGATCTTGCTTTGTAGACCAGGCTGGCCTGGAGCTCAAGAGTTCTGTCTGCTTCTGCTTCCTTGTGCTGGAATTAAAGGTGAGCGCCACCCACACGCATGGCTCAGAAAATCTGATCGCCACGGAAATCCTTTTGCTGTCCTTCATTATCAGGGATGAATCTGCGCTGAGGCTCCACGCCTGCAGCAGGCGGGGCCCACATGGATGCACCAGGCTCGTGTCTCTAACACTATGGTCCAGAGATAAGGAGAATCACCACGAATGGGAAGATACGAGGCTGGGATTGAGAAGTGGAAGAAGTAAACCTGCGACCAGGCCAAAGAATTCCTTTCCTGGTACTGATACCAAGAAATGCACACGTCACCGAGTCCCAAGGCCTGAAGTGACTTCCGGCTTCCGGGTCTTGCAGTCTCACACTCAGGCACCGCCAGGCAATGCGCACTCGCCACTTCCTGGTTCAAAGGTTGCGCTGCGGTTGCCTAGAAATAGGTCTGTGCTGCTGAGACCTTGAGCGCTCGGTGCAACCCAAGCCCGGAGCGACGGCAGTGCGGGAGACCGGGACCGGGTAAGTGTTCCATCGGGCCCCAGCGGCAAGCGGAACTATGAGTGTCTTCCCCATGGGGATTCCAACGTGCCTTCCTTCGGCATCACATCCGCCCATTGGTCAGAACCAGGCCCCGCCCACTGCTGCCCTCCGGTCCCGCCCACAGTCGGTCCCGGCCGGGTCTGCCATTAAGTGTTACTGCGCCTGCGTGCTGGGCAACTGTCAAAACTCCGGGGACCTAGAAATGGGGACTCTGTCAGGCAGTTTAAAAAAAAAAAAAGTAGCGCTCCACTACGGAAATTTGTTTCCATCTACCTTTTCACAGCAGTAGCTAAGATCTTGAGCCAGAAATTTGTCTTGTGTTTTTTTTTTTTTCTCTTTTGACAGAAAGGAGTGAAATCTTAGTGAAAATAATTTGGCAAATAACGGACTTGTGACGTCATTCCGGTAGATTTTGGGGCACAGGTTGCCCCGTCCCATATTCCTTTGTTAATTCTGTTTTACTTCCAGACTCCAGACTGACTGGGCCTTCCCCCAAATTTAGTCATTCCCTGATGTCATTAAACAAATAGGTAGCTTTGAGGGTTTAAGGGTTGATGATACGCCAGATTATTTGTCTCCAGCTGAATGTACTAAACTCCATAATTGTAACCTGACTACTAGATAACTCTACTTAATGGGTGTCTTAATAGGTACTTCTTAGTGTGTGAAAACGAAGCTTCACATTTCCACAATCATCCTTGTCTATATGAATGGCAAATCCATCTTTGCATTAGCTTAAACTTTGTAGTCATTCCTATATAACAATGTAATTCACCAGCAAATCTTGTTGGTTCCACTCTCCTTATCCAGAACCTGAACTTGGCTCCACATTGGTGTCAACTATAATCCAAGCTCCCCTCATCTCTCTCAGGTCACTGCAGTGGTCTCTGGGCCCCTTGCTTTCAACTCTGCACTTTTCTCCACAGTAGTAAGCACCAGTCTCTTCACAAGTCAAACCCCTGCAGCAGCCCTCTGTGCCAGGTAGGATAAGATTCAAGGTTCTGGCCATGCCCTCGAATCCCAACATAGACTAACCCATGTTTCTGTCCCTATTTCACTCTGTCCCAGCCCACTCTATTTTAGTCAGTTGGTCTAACACACTCTTGACTGACAGCTTTTAAAAACACATATTCCCTTCACCTGTAATGTGGGAATTATTAGATTTAGGAGTTCAGGGGATTTTAAAAAAAGGAGTTTAAAGTTTAGAAATAAGAGTCAGGGCCAGACCTGCCACAGGCAAAGATTGTGTCCCTTTTATTTAGAGAACACAGCAAAGCATGGAAACTATCCACAGAAAACAGGCCTCTGTATCCAAAAGGGGAACAGTCTGGACTTATATAGGAGCCCTGCTGCACACAGCTACAAGAGTTAAGTTTGTACCAGGGTCTGTTGTCCTTGAGGGTCTCTCTCCAAAGATTATTTCCTCAGGCAGTTGAACTATCTACAGCACCAAAGGAGACAGGTGGGCTCCATAAACAGTCTCAGTCCAGGGAGTGACTAGTTGGTAAGGCTTGAGCAAGGCCAGGCTGCCAATTTAGGGCCAGTTAGCCACTTTAAAGGATTTATGACTTTCCCTAATAAGGCTTGTGGCTCTTCTGCAATTCACACACTCTATCAGGAATGACTTTTATAAATGGACATAATCTGAACTAATGACTTTTAATTAACCCCAGCAAAACCATGTGCTCTGTGTCTTGTGACCTGGGTGCCAGATCTTGTTTCCTCAGAACCTCAATTTGTATTCCACCCAAAAAGATAATGATTGAATGTGGGTAGCTTGAGAATTAACATCAAAGTACTGAAAGCACTGCACCCATCTCTGGCTCGCAGTAGAGATTAGGAAAGATGGCGACCTTGGGCGAATAAGATAGTCTAGACCTAGGGATGAAAAGGCCATACTGGGAGCTGGAGAGATGGCTCAGTGGTCAAGAGCATTGGCTGTTTTTGCAGAGGACCCAAGTTTGATTCCCAGCACCAACATGGCAGCTAACAGCCATCTCTCTGATGCCCTCTTATGACCTCTGTGGTTTATTATTATTTTATGTGTGTGAGTATATTGCCTGCATGACAGGGATGTACTTACATTTAGGTAATACACTCAGACACGTAAAATAAAAATAAGAAAATATTTATTTAAAAAAAGAAAGAAAAGGCCAGACTGTTAAGATGCAAGTGGAGCCAAACTTGTACTTCCCAAATTGAAGCTGGAGAAACCATTTTGAATAAAATCATGAGTGGGGCCAGGCTTAAGGACACAGTTTTAGGGACAGAGTTCCAGCAAGACATCAGCACTGTTCCAGATCGATGGTTCCAAGTGACCTCTAAGGGAACAAGTGATCTATGAGTTGGCCCTTTTTTTTTTTCTTTCTTTCTTTTTTTTTTTTTTTTTTGTTGAGTTTCCCTGTAACCCCAGGTGACCTGGAACTCACTATATAGACCAGTCTGGCCTTAAATTTGCAGAGATCCACCTGCTCTGCCTCCCAAGTACTGGGATTAAAGGTGTGCACCACCATGCCCAGCTTGGGCCCACTCTTAATAACTAAATTCTAAATTTAGGAGTCAGGCTATTTGTTCTGGCAGTCATAAAGTTGGTGTAGTAACACTGCACTGGAATGCTCTTTGCCTAGAAATCATCTGGCCTGCTGGCCCAGAAAATTGGCTCAGTGGGTAAGATGCTTGCTGCCAAGCCTGATGACCTGAGTTTGATCCTGGCAGCCCACATGGTGGAAGGAAAGAACCAACTCCCCCAAGTTGTTCTCTGGCCTGACTGCACCCGCCCAACCAGATAAACATAGTAAATAAATGTAGAAATCATATGGCTTCCTTTTTTAGTTCCTTTAAGTCTCTTCCACAGGAGGATATATATATATATATATAATTCTGGATTGCATGATATGGTCCAAAGTAGTCCAACAATGCCTGACTCACATTGGAGGGCTGAGAATCTAACCTATCTCCAACTCCTTGTTTCCAACTTCATTGCTGGTTCCCAGCCACCATTTAAGTGAACTCTTTCCTGATAGACAGCCTGCTTTCTTCTTGCCCCCTTAGGCCTCCACTAGAGCATATGAAAACTGTCATAACAGTGTAGGATGTGAATTGGTAGACATTAGAAGTAGGGTTCAAGAAGGCAGGATCAGTTCTGGCAGGAAATAGGCACACTCAGCTCTGAAACTTTGAAGAGACTGTTTAATGAAGGAGTTGTATGTAACAGAATTGTGTCCAGGTTCAAAGAACCATTAGTCTTTCTACCCAAATGACCTGCTAGAGGGGCTGAAGAGATGGCTCAGTGATTAAGAGGAATGGCTGCTCTTATAGAGGACTTCAGTTCGGTTCCCAGCACCCACATGGCAGCTAACAACCTTTCATAGCTCCAATTCCAGGGGATCCAACATCCTCTTCTAATCTCTGTGGGCATTGTATGACACAGATTCAGTTACATACACTCAAGCAATAGACTCATACACATAGAATTAATAATATATATATTTTTTAATCTTTTTGAGACAGGGTCTCCCTGTAGCCCCAGCTGACCTGGAACTTGCTAGGTAGACCAGGCTGGCCTTGAACTCACAGAGGTCCACTTACCTCTGCCTCTCCAGTGCTGGGATTAAAGGGGTGAGCCACCATGCCAATCTTAATAATTTTTTTTTTTAAAGACCCTCTCGGGCTGGAGAGCTGACACAGCCATTAAGGGCTCAGACTCACAACCCAAAAGACAAAAGAACTGCTAGAGCCAGGGATGAAGGATTACCTACAGAAACTGAGGTCTTCAAGAGTCTCAGCATTGTCAAAGTCCTGTTCAAGCAGGGAAGGAGTGAAAATGCACCCTGGCCTATGTTCCCATTCTCCTACCTACTGCCGAAGCATAACTGAACCAAATGCTTGCAAACTGTAAAGGTCATCTCTCTAGAGTCCAGGGAGGAGAAAGAAGGACCAAGTATGAAATTAGGGGATTAATAAAATATTGAGCAAGAGAGGAAACCTCCAAACCACGAGTCTCTGAATCTTGATTGTTTTACTTGTGAAGTAGGCAGCAGTTCAGGTCTATACACTCAGCTCTGTCTATGAGTTATTATGCATCTATATATTCAACCAACTATAGATTAAAAGTAGTCAAAAACTGCACCTGTATTGAACATGCACAGATTTTTTTGCCTTATTCTCTGAACAATATAGCATATCAGTTTACATGGCATTTATCTTATATTGATTTCAGAAGTAATCCAGAGATGGGGGCTAGAGAGATGGCTAAGCAGTTAAGAATACTAGCTGCTCTTGCAGAGGACCCAGGTTTGGTTCCCAGCACTCACATGGCAGCTAAGAGCCATCATAACTCCAGTTTCCAGGAATCAGATGCCTGCTTCTGGCCTCCATGAGTATTGTATGCATGTGATGCTCTTGCATATATGCAGGCAAAACACTCATACACACAAAAATAAATTAAAATTAAAATTCCTTAAAATTTTTTAAAATTTACTTTTATGTGTTTAAGTGTATTGTCCACATGTATATAGTGCACCGTGTTGTACAGTGCCCACAGAGGACAGACGAGGGTGTTGGATCCCCAGAAACTGGAGTTACAGATAGTTGTTAGCCACTATATGGGTGCTGGGATTCAAACCTGGATCTTCTGCAAGACCAGCCAGTGCTCTTAACCACTGAGCCCAGTTCTTGTGCAAGAATCTCCCCAGTACCCAAAATAAAAATTCTTAAGTAATCCACAGATTTAAAGTATTTTGGAGGATTATGTATTCTGTGAGGGAAATACTATGTCATTTTATATGAGGGCATGAGCCTCCTCAGAGTCTATTACAGGGGGTCCTGGACATGAGAGCACATGTGTTGTTCCCCATGTGCTCAGGGAAGGTACAGCCCCACCATTGTTAGGTTGCTTTCCTGCCTCAAACACCTTCCTTCCAGAAACTCGCCTTACTTTACCTTCTCCATTTGTCTGAGTCTTCACCTTCTTTACATGTGTTATGCCCCATGTGCTCAGGGAAGGTACAGCTCCACCATTGTTAGGTTGCTTTCCTGCCTCAAACACCTTCCATACAGAAACTCGCCTTACTTTACCTTCTCCATTTGTCTGAGTCTTCACCTTCTTGAAGGTTTGGTTCAGATCCTGCCTTCTCCAAGCCTTTCCTGATGTTGCATTTCATTGTTGTCCATGGTAACACCCATATTGGCCATCCACCACTTAGCCTCTTCTTGGTAACTGTTATCTACCTGATTAACTATACATCCTCTTCCTAAACTAAATAGAAAGCTCTGAGAAGGTACTTAGTAACAGCTGCTCAATAAACTTTTGCCAAGGCTAAGGAAGAGTTACATGCACATAGCACTGACCTAAATGGTATTTGATTTCTCAGAGTAAAATCTCTTTAAGAAGGTAAGTCAAGAGGCTGGAGAGATGGCTCACTGGTTAAGAACACTGGTTGTTCTTGCAGAAGACCCGAGTTTGAATCCCAGCACCCACATGGCAGCTAACAACTGTCCATAACTCCAGTCCCAGAGGATCCAACAACCTCTTCTGACCTCCGCTAGCATTGCACAACACGGGTGCAGTTACCTACATGCAGGCAATACATGCATACACATAAAATAAAAATAAATAAAATATTTTTTTTAAAAAGTAAGTCAAGCAGGGCGTGGTGGTACACACCTTTAGTCCCAACACTCAGGAGGCAGAGGCAGGCAGATCTTTGTGAGTTCAGCCTGGTCTACACAGTGAGTTCCAGGACAGCTGGGACTTCAGGGAGACCCTGGCTTCAAAAAGATCAAAAAAATAAAAAAAAAAAACTCAGTCAAATTTTCCTTTACACTAACAGGATTTTGCCCTGCAAAATGTAACCCTTCTTTTTTTTTCTGCTTAAGTTACACATACTATTTGTTAATAATAAAACTAAATAATTTCAAAGTTTTACAAATTAGGAAGGGTAAGTCTTTCAACCTCATTTAACCAACTGTTAATTATTTGGTGCATTTACTTTGTGACTTTTTTGATACATACGTGATCAGGTAACAAAAATACAGCATGAGGCCCTGGTTGTAATCCAAAACACTGCAAGGTAATAATGATAATATAACTAATAATTACAGCAATACTAGCTTATTATTTTTTCTACTGTTTTAAGGTACTCATATCATGAACATCAGTCACAATGTATATTTTAATGGCTTCCTTGCATTGTTATTCTCATGAATATTTATTTTTTGGTTGTTAGCCTTAGCCTTTAACGGCTGTGCTATCCCAAACTAGTTTCTTATTGCTGAACATTTAAATCTTTTTTATTTTTTCTTACTATATGCAAGACTGTATAAGCTCTTCCTCTTATCCTTACCTTCTTAGGAACTTACAGATGTCTCAGCATGATGGAGCTAGAGCAGGCAGAGGCCCAGCTCTCTGAGTTAGACCTGCTGGCCAGTATGTTCCCTGCTGATAATGAGTTCGTAGTGAACGACCACCTGGCTCTGGCAGAACTGAAAGACTGTACTGAAAAGAAGACAATGGAGGGCCGATCATCACAAGTTTACTTTACTATCAACATGAACCTGGACATAGCTGAGGAAGCAATGGTAATTCTGTTCTGTTTTTTAAAGAATTAGAGCATGTCAAGACTTAAAACAACACTGATAACATTTTTCTTCTTCCCCTTCCTCCTCTTCTCAGGTGATGTTTTCACTGTCTTGCCTTCTTCCCTTTAAATATCCTACAGTCCTGCCTGAAATTACTGTCAGGTATGTTATAGAAACTGTCCACTGTAGACATCAGAATTAATCTGGGAATAAAAGTAATTCTTGAGTTTATTTTCTTTTCCAAGAAAATTGATTTAATTTTTTTTCCCCTTGTGTTCTCCGTCAGGTCAGAATCACTGAGTCGATCCCAGCAGACTCAGCTGAACACAGATCTGATCGCATACCTGCAGAAGAACTGTCTTGGAGATGTCTGTATACTGAATGCCACAGAGTGGGTTAGAGAGCACGCCTCTGGCTATGTCAGCAGAAGCATCTCAACTTCGCCCACCAAAGAAAGTGCCGCCCAGCCAGTAGATTGTGTCCTTACCAGACTCTGGATCTATAGCCATCACATCTACAATAAATACAAAAGAAAAAACATTTTAGAGTGGGCTAAGGAGCTTTCCCTGTCAGGGTTTAGCATGCCTGGGAAACCTGGTGTTGTTTGTGTAGAAGGCCCACAGAATGCTTGCGAAGAATTCTGGTCAAGGTTTGCTTTCATATTTTATACATCACATTGATATTTGTAATTTGAGGCTGGATGTGGTGGCACACACCTTTACTATCAGCACTCAGGAGGCAGAGGCAGGCAGATTTCTGTGAAATTGAAGCCAGCCTGCTCTATGTAGCACATTCCAGGTCAGGTGGGGCTATGGAGTGAGACCGTGTCTCAAAGGTTTGCTTTCATATGTTATACATCACATTGATATTTGTAATTTGAGGCTGGATGTGGTGGCACACACCTTTACTATCAGCACTCAGGAGGCAGAGGCAGGCAGATTTCTGTGAAATTGAAGCCAGCCTGCTCTATGTAGCACATTCCAGGTCAGGTGGGGCTATGGAGTGAGACCGTGTCTCAAAA